CAACTCAGCCTGCATGCAGCCTTCAGCCTCAGCCTCAGCCTCAGCATCAGCACTGCCTTCACCTCAGCCTCACAGCCTGCCTCTGCCTCAGCCTCAGCCTGCTTCAGCCTCAGCCTCAGTCTGCCTGGCCTCGGCCTCAGCCTCAGCCTGCCTCAGCCTCAGCCTGCATCAGCCTCAGCCTCAGCACGAAGCAACCCAGCTAGAAGGACAAAGCGCTGAATGTACACCGATGTGTTCGACGACTGCGTATGTAATGATGTGACGATATACAGACTGAGCCCTTCGTGAATGTCTACATGTTTTTCTGACGCCTACAAACGGCGCTGACGTGTGTGAGAAAATTGTCCGCGCAGCAAAAGCCGGCGAAGCGTGCAGACAGCCAGCTGCAAAAGGTTGCGAGCGGCTCTTGGAAGACGTTTACGGAACGGAGCTACGGTGTCTGAAAACATTGGCATCGAAGCGAAGAGCCTCGGAGCCCTGCAGCCTGAGAAACACCGCAGGAACTCGCATACTGAAAAGGAATGCATTGCAAACCGCACGTTGCGAACCCTGCAGGCTGAGAAGCACCGCAGGATGTCGCATGCTGAAAAGCACCTGTACTGCAGAGCGCAGGCTGCGAAACCTGCAGGCTGAGAAGCACCGCAGGAACTCGCATGCTTTCGAACACTACTGCTCGAGACCGCAGCTGGAGAGCGGCAGACCGCAGGCTGAGAAGCACCGCGGGCAGAGAGACTTGCAAAACTCAGATGTCCTGATCGTCTTGGAGGAAGTCACGCCAGTCCGGCGGCTGCCAAGAATCGATGATGCGCCTGGAGCCACCGCCCGTGCTGCCGCCGATGTCCAGGTAGTCGCCATCGCCCCTGAACAGACGGCCGTGCCCGCACGCCAGAATCGCTTGGTTGCGGATTTGAAGCAGCGCTCCGCTCTCAAACATCTGCAACACGTCCTGCTGCCTGCGCGTGAAGTTCGGCTTTGCCTGGCCAGCCTGGGCAGACAGATATAGGGAAAGCCGCTCCCCCTCGTTGTAGCGCGCGATGGCCTCGGCCTTCTGGTGGTGCAGCCGGCGCCGCTGTTGCCGCAGAGCTTCCTCGGGAACTGCTGCATCACGGCCCTCACTGTGATCAGCTTGCAACGCTTGCGTTAACCAATCAACGTCGAAGCGCCCTGAGAAGGCCAGCACCTCCCAGATCTGTTTAGTACCGGCCACACGTTGCAAATGGCGATGCCACCGCTTACGCTTCTGGTCTTTCACAAACTTGGCGACGCTACCCAGACCTGCACCCTTGGCCTGGCCACCTTTTCCCGCAGGCTGAGAAGCACCGTGAGAACCTTTCTTACCGCCTGGCCCTTTGTTCGGACCCTGCGGAACCGCATGGCCCCCTTGTGGCGCAGATTTGCCTTTCGCTTTTCCCTTTTCGATATCCCGTTCCTGAAGCGCACGCTGCTGCCGCGACTGCTCGTACTGGTCGCGAGCTACTCTGACCAATTCCTGGCGCTCAGGCTCCGCGAGAACGCAGCGCATGTCGTCGATGTTCTTGCTCCGCAGAAAGTCATGTCGAAGCTTAAGGACAGAGAGAATGGCTCGGCCAGTCTCCTCCTGAGACGCAAAGGCCGTGTCATATTCCGAGCCAGGCTGAGGAGCGCCAGCTGGATCAGTGTCCGCTGGCTCCGTGGACTTCCTCTTTTTGAAAAGCAAGAGACTGAGATGATGGAGGACTTTCGGATCGTACTCCTCGTCGTACCTGTCGTCCCAAAGCTGCCTCAGCTCCCTGTGCAAGTCGTCCGCGCGATGCTGAACGACATCCTCGACGTAGTCGGGGTCACCCGGTGAAGTCGGTGAAAGCGGAGGAGCAGAACTCGGCGACCGATCCCAATGCACAGAAGACTCGCGGTCCGCCTGTACGCTGACGTCGGCGTCGGAGACGTTTTCGACGACAATCTTCCGCCTCTTGCTCTCCCCAGGCTGAATAGCACCAGGGAGAGTGAGCACAACCGCCACCGCATCGTGTGCGTCGTTGCGCATGCCACGATCCGTAAAAGACGCGCCAACGGCAATGGAGCAGAAACGGGCGACTGCTCCGCAGACCGCGACGTGTCGCCTTTGAGGTCGGCCGGAGTGGCATGGACCTCCCATACCTTCTCGTCGTTCTGCTCGCGCTGGTAAGCCTCCCGCGCCTCCTGGAAAGTGAGGTTGTCGTCGCCGACTACAAGCACAACGACTGCCTCGTTTAGATTCTCAAGAATCTTGGCCAGGCCGTCCAGGTGCAAGCGGAGATGGCGAACTGTCCGCTTTCGAGTCTGGATGCTCGGCGGTTTCTTGCCGCACACGATGTGCATGTTGGCGATCACCACGTGGAACTTGTCATGGCCTGGTTTGTTCACCTCAAAATGTGAAATAACAGCATCAATATCTCGGCCGCTAGGAGGCCTGTAAACTTTGCTGTCTTCGCACAGAGTCAGTTCCGCAGGCTGAGAAGCACCGCGGAACCCCCAGAGAGTCAAGTAGTTGTCGACCTCCAAGAAGCGAATGCCATCACCGAAAGGCTTACTGAGGATCTCTGTCACGTTGATCCCTGCTCGGCGAAAGCCTTCACGGAACGCACCGACCTCGCAGCCACAGACCATATCAGCATCAGCGGTCTCCACTATCTTGGCGCGCAACCTTCCGAAGTTAGCGCAGTGAGTGGCCGCGTGCTTACCAGTCATCATGCCCTGCTCGAACCCGAAATTGAACGAGGCGACCGTGAAAGACGCAGGCTGCACAGCGCCAGAACCAGGCGTCTGTCCACCTTCCTCCGCAGGCTGAGAAGCACCGCGAGGCGGCGCAGGCTGAGAAGCACCGCGAGGCGGCGACACTTCGGACGAGCCTCGCGGAGCAGAGGCTGCGGATGAACGTTGGACATGGGGGTACGGCCAGGGGAACGCCATTGCAATCAAAACTCAGTGGACTGCAGTGAATGAATGTAGTGGCCAATTGAATGCAGAGGACTGCAGTGTCACTAGCAAGTCCTGAACCAAACACAGCTGTGGCGGAAGGAATATGAAGCGTCTGGCTATTCAAAATGTTGCCCGGCAATGGAGTTCTGGGAACTCGAAGACCAGGAAGTGGACTAGAGTTGGCTCTGGGCATCCAAAATGTAGCCCAGGAATGGAGTTCTGGGAACTCGAAGAGCACGAAGTGGCTTACAGTTGGCTCCGGGCATCCAAAATGTGGCCCGGGAATGGAGTTCTGGGAAATGGAAGAACACGAAGTGGCCTACAGTTGGCTCCGGGCATCCAGAATGTGGCCCGGGAATGGCGTTCTGGGATGTCGAAGAGCACGAAGTGGCCTACAGTTGCATCCGGCCCCCCAGAATGTGGCCCGGGAGTGGCGTTCTGGGATGTCGAAGAGCACGAAGTGGCCTACAGTTGCATCCGGCCCCCCAGAATGTGGCCTGGGAATGGAGTTCTGGGAAGGCGAAGAGCACGAAGTGTGTGACTGTTGGTGAAAAACGAGCCCGGCTCATGCCGCCCGGAAGCGCCCCAACACCTGCCCGGACCCCCCTGTGGAGTGATCTGTGAGCTCTTTTGACACTACTAGAAACCTATCAGTCTTCGCTGTTAGGTAAGAACCCCACTTTGGATGTGGGGAATAATAGTGGGCAGTATCCAATGTTCCTGCTTGCATCTAGCATATATGAACCGTGTTGTTTTGAGTGCCCGTTCTGGCGCCATGATCGTTCTTTGATGCCCCAATCCTCTCAAACATCAATTCTCCCTCCCTCCAACCTCTTGTTGTGGGCGAACACACATCAGTATCCACTGCCTCGCGGGCTGGGCCATTGGGTCACGACCCCACGGATATGGAGCGTTTTTTGCCGAGCCCCGCGCGGAATGTATCCGTGCGGCAGAGTATTTCCAGGATCGCGCCCCAGAATTCAGACCGCGAGGGCACGGATAAGGACATACCACCCGTCGCTCGTAATCTTCGTTCCGTTTTCCCCATCGTCTTGTGTTTTTCCCCCATCGTCTGATCATCCTCGTCGCTTTGTCGTTTTCAAACTCCGTTTCCTTCTCCTCCTCACCCCTCTGGTCCTCATTTCCTTTCTTCTCATTCCCGTGCTTATTTCTGTTGCCCATTATGCTCCTGCACTTTCCCCTGCTCCTTCTCCTCCTCATGCTTCTCCTCCTCCCCCTCCTGCTCCTCCTCTTCCTCCTCCTCCTCGCAGAGGTGAACAAGAACACTCTTAAGTATCAGGGCTCGGCCCTCGAGAAGATACTCAACCAGGATGTCCCCTGTGTTTCCTATAGGGGGCCCGGGGGGATGAAGCGAATGGGGTGGGTATGAGGCAGGAGTGCTACAAGCGACAGCACTCCTCTTTGTGATCCTCGGAGCATGATTGGGCACGATATGTTCGGGAACGGACGGACCAGTGGGGACGACGATGAGGGGGGCGAGAGGAGGAGATGCGAGGAGGAGGGGGAGGGGGACTGAGAGGGAATGGGCTGGGGAAGATGTGGGAGAGGTCGGAAAGACGGAGGAGGAAGAGGAAGAGGAAGAGGAGAAGGGAATGGGAAGTTCAGGGGGTGGAGGGGGAAAACGATATGGAGGGAGCAGGGGGGTGCGAAGATGGATGGGATGAGGAGGGGAAGCGTGAGGGGTGGCGAGGAGGGAGCAGGGGAGGCTGAGGAGGGGGTAAAGGTGTAAACGGGTGTGTTCCGTCAGTCTTTTTGGTGCTTTTGAATATTCAGCGGAGGGAGCAGGTGCTGGCGCGATGTGTTGCGACGATCGCAGTTTCATGCGTCACGCAACAGTTGATGACTGCTTTCTTCCTGAAAGTTGTCTGCCACTTGCCAGGAATGCAGAAGGGGTAGTGGCGAAGCGGGGAATTAAACGTAGCACGGTGAACCTACAATGGCCGAGCAGACACTGCAAGGCGAACCCACAGGCTGCAGATCTATATATATATATATATATATATAGATAGATAGATACGATGCATATACGTACCTATGTATATGTATATGTATAGGATGCGGGGGGGGGACTTGAGAAGCGAAACGCGTGGGCAAGAGCAGGTGGTTGTCGTTGGCGAAGCATTATGACCCCCAGACGTTCCGGTTCCGGTTCCGGTTCCGGTTCCGGATGGGGATCGTCCCATTCCATGATCCCTGACGCCGGCAGCTTTGGATTCGAATTTGCATGCAAATTCGAACCCAAAGCTTTCTGCATTTCTGCAGAAATGCAGCACAGTGCCAGTTCCGGTTCCGGTTCCGGATAGGGATCATCTCTCATCCCCATCCCTCTCAGGTGCCGTTTCCAGTTCCTGTTGCCAGTTGCTGGTTCCGGTGCCAGTTCCGGTTCCGTTTCCGGATGGGGGGCATCCGGATCCATCATCCTTGCCGCTCGCAGCTCTGGGTTTGAATTTGCAGCAATGCAGGACAGTGCCGGTTCCGGTTCCGGTTCCGGTTCCGGATGGGGATCATCCCTCATCCCAATCTCGCATGCCGGTTCCAAATCCCGTCGCCGGTGCCGGTGCCGGTTCAGGTTCCGATTCCGGTTCCGGTTCCGGATGGGGATCATCCCAATCCATCATCCGTACCGCCGGCAGCTCTGGGTAGTGCCCGTTCCGGTTCAAGATAGGGATCATCTTTCATCCCCATCCCTCTCAGGTGCCGGTTCTGGTTGCCAGTTCAGGTGCCGGTTCCGGTTCCAGTTCCGGCTTTGGATGGGGATCATCCCAATCCATCATCCCTACCGCTGGCAGTCCGCCGCCGCCGCCGTCGCCGCCGCTGCCGCAGCCGCACCCGACGCCGCCGCCGCCGCCGCCCAGCTTGGGCCAGCCTGGAGTTGTCCAGCCTGGGGCAGCTCAGGAACGCAATGAAAAGCGTCAGTTGCTCTGTGTGTTTCGCGCTCCTGCTATGGCGTTCCCGGTTGCGCCGTCCAGGAGCGCAAACTTAGTGTCAGTTGCGCGCGCGGTTCGTGTTCCGTGCTCCTGCTCTGACTTTCCCTGCCGCGCCGTCCACGAGCGCAGTATAAAAATCTCAGATCCCAGTTGCGTTCGCGTTTCGTGTTTCGTGTTCCTGCGTTGGCTTTCATGTGCCGTCCAGGAACGCGAACTTAAAGTCTGAGTTGCGCTCGTGTTCCGTGTATCGTGCTCCTGCTCTGGCTTTCCCGGCGGCGCCGTCCAGCAGCGCAAAATTGAAGTTTCAGTTAGGGCCAGATCGAGGTCAGCCTGAAACCGGCGGGGCCGTTTGCCGGCCTGGCCAGCTTGGCCAGCTAGGCCAGCCTGGGGAAGCTTGGGTCAGCCAGGGCCAGCTTGGGGCAGCTTGGGCCACCGAGGCCAGCCTGGGGCAGCCTGGGGCAGCCCGGGCCAGGCTGGCTCGTTGGCCCAGGTTTGCCCAGGCTGGGCCAGCGTGGACAAGCCTGGGGGGAGCTTGGGCCGTGGCGCAGCTGGCACAGCTGTCGACGACGACGTCGTCGTCGTGGTCGGTCGGTCGGTCGGTCGGTCGGTCGGTCGGTCGGTCGTTCGTTCGTTCGCTCGCTCGCTCTCTCGCTCGCTCGCTCGCTCGCTCGCTCGCTCGCTCGCTCGTTCGTTCGTTCGTTCGTTCGTTCGTTCGTCGTTCGTCGTTCGTCGTCGTCGTCGTCGTCGTCGCGCTTCGTCGTCGTCGTCGTCGTCGTCGTCGTCGTCGTCGTCGTCGTCGTCGTCGTCGTCGTCGTCGTCCGTCGGCGGCGACGGCGACGACGATAACGACGGCGGCGTGGCGACGGCGACGACGAAACGACAAAGACGACGTCGACGACGGCGACGCCCGACGGCGACGGCGACGGCTACGTGGCACGGCGAACGGCGACGAACTACGACGGGGCCCCGAAAAAAAAAAGGACAGCGCGACGACGTCTACGACAAGGGCGGCGCGGCGGCCGGCAGCGGCGCGGCGGACGCGACACGACAACGACGGCGGCAGCGGCAGCGGGGCGGCGGCGGAAGGGCAATGGCGGCAGCGCGGAAGTGGCGGCGGGCGCAGCATTGCAGGACGGGCGCGGGAGTTCTGCCTCTGCCGCCCCTCCTCCCGCCTCCCCCCATGCCCGCGCTCCGCCGCCGTCCCCCCTCCTACCCCCCCTTACCCACCGCCCCCCCCCCCCTCCCGCGCCCCCGCACCCCCCCCTCTCCTCGCGCGTGTTCGGGGTGTTTTTATGATGCGTCCAGGGTAGGGAAGTTCATTTTCTAATCACAAGCGCCCGGTCTTGTTAATTACAAGCAGACATTAGAGATCATACCCCTCTCTTTCCTCTCGCGCCCGATGTCGGTTCTGGTTTCGGATGGGGATGACCCCCCCTCTCAGGCAGCGCGCGCGCTCTTCCTGTTCCGGCTTTGGTTCCGGATCAAGCTCGCTCGCGCCCTCGTTCGCTCGCTCGCTTGCCCGAAGCAGCGAGCGACCGAGCGACAGGGCTCTCCGTTCAGGCTCAATCAGAGGTCCATTTTGTTGTACTGGAGCGGGCGAGCGAGCGCCCCCCCCCGTGCAGTTGGAATCTTGTTGTAACCTTTGCAATCAGGCTGTGGTGTACTCCACAATTGGAGTCCTGCAGTGGGGTCCTCATTGCAACTAGAACAATCGGAATTCTAGTGAGACATGTTTGATAAAACGCCGAACGGCAACCTCTACAAACTCCACGGGTGGCCCTCTCGCTCGCACACTCGATCGCTGGCGGGCCAGCGAGCAGGCGAGCGCGTCCACGACGACGAGTGCGAGCGGCGGCGTTCACAGCCGAGCGCTGCCGTCGAAGACCTTGGGCGGCCGTCGTCTCGTCGCCGTCGCCGCCGCCGCCGCCGTCGTCTTCGTCCTGGCGCCGCCGCCGTCTCCGCACCGCGCCGTCTCCGCCTCCGACTGCGAAGTGCACCTCTGGGGGCGCGGGGATGGAAAGCTAGCGCGGTCTCCCATCGACGGGAGTGGAGGCCACGACGAGAAGGGTGGCGAAGTGGAGAAGGAGAGGGACATATATACTGCGAGGTGAGGGAGAAGGGGGAGGGGGAGGGGGGGAGGAGGAGGGGGAGGAGGAGGAGGAGGAGGAGGAGGAGGAGGAGGAGGAGGAGGAGGAGAAGAGGAGAAGGGGAGGAGGAGGAGGAGAGAGGAGGAGGAGGAGGAGGGGGAGGAGTGGAGGAGGAGGAGAAGGAGGAGGAAGAGGAGGAGGACGGCCCTGTCATCCCAGCGCCTTAATTTAATTGAGACGTGCGCCATGTACCAGTTTTTGAATTTTGTTTCAATTTTTGATTTCGAATTCATTGTGTTTCAATTTTTGATGTTGAACTCGTTATTACTGCATATCCAACTGTGCCAATGTGCCAGTTGTGCATGTGTTGCCCATACTTATATATATATATCATATATATATATATATATATAACGAATATGAATATGTATGTATATGTGTAGCTGTGCCAATATAGTCATATATATACACATATGTAGATACATATGTAGATATGTATATATACATATATCAAGTGTGCCAATGTGCCAATGGTGCACAGTGTGCCATGGTGCCCGTGTGCCATGCATCATACGATGTATCTATACATATAATTAAACATATGTATACATAGAGAGAGAGAGAGAAGAGAGAGAGAGAGAGAGAGAGAGACAAAAAAAGACAGAGAGAGAGAGAACATAACAAACTCCTCGTCCCCCTCTTCCTCCTCCTCGAGACTCCGTCTCTCCACTTCCTCCTGCTCGAGCCCCCCGCCAGGCCTCTTCCTCCCTCCTCCTCCTCATCTTCCTCCTCCTCCTCCTCCTCGAGCCTCCTCCTCTCCCTCCTCCTTGCCGCGCCGCGCGCGCGCGACGGCGCGGCAGGCTCGAGCGCGCGAACGCGCGCGCTGCAGGCCCGGCCTGCGCGGGGCGCGCGGCCCTGCCGAGGCGCGCGGGGGGGTGGGGGAGCTATCGTGCCAGATCTGGCACGGTCGATCTCGCCCGAGGGTTGGGGCGCCCCAGCCCTCGGGCGAGATCGATCTCGCCCGACTCGCGCCTCGAGGGCGGCGCCGTGTGCCAGAACTCGCGGATAGTATGGGGGGCACTGGCACGCCCGCCCACGAGGCGGGATGTCGGGCGAGATCGCAGAGTGGCTGGACGAGGCGTTCGAAAAGGCAGGCATCCCTGCCTGGTGCCCAGAGGACCTCCCTCCCTCTCCCCCATTCTATTATCCTCCTCTCCTCCTCC